ATAATATAATAAAATAAAAATTGCAATTTTATTTAATATACTATAAATATAAATTTCGGTAAATACCGATATCGATCAGTACAGTATTGAAATTTTCAGTTCGGTATTTTTACATAAAAATTAGTACTGAAACTGAAACCAATCGGAATCCTAGTTAGAATGAAATATAGCCCAATCTGTATATTCAAACATATTACATTCTTGCTTATGAATAGTCATTATAGTACTAATTAAATAATTATTGTACTATAACATATTTTGTAAAGGTTATAATTTTAATGCTTACTAGATTAGTATGTAAACTGGCTTTCTATAAGAAATAGTATATTATAAATTATAATGTTATATATTATATTAATTTTATTTAACTGTTTTTATTTAAAGTTAAATTGGTATCTTGTAATCTGACCTGTAAAGTATTAATTACTGCATTATGGATTCACAGGTTTTATATTATATTATTATTGTTTAACTTTTAATATTATTATATAATATATAAATAATTTCTTTTAAAAACTTAATATAAGTATCAAGTTTTTCCATTTTGAAAAAAAATAGTTAAAGTTTCAGTAGGACTATAATACACTGATAAATGCTTGATACTTTTGTACCAATGTTATAGGTTCAATTTCTAATGATAACAAAATTCTTATAGACCTATTTCAGGAGTAATTATAATAAATGTAAGTTGCCTTATTATCATAAACCAATTATTAAAGTATAATAGCATTACAAATTTTACTGAAGATTTAGAGTCTTATGATAAAGATTATCATAAGATATTCCCAAGTAAGTGATCTTAATACTAGGGGCTAGATGTGGCAATAGTAAGTATTAGTTGTCTAACTACCATTATGTGATTAGATTAAATCATAACTTTTTTCTTCTTTTTAAAACCCGTGAGTCTATAGTATAATAGTTAATACTCTATAGGTCAAATCACAAGATATTAGTTCAATTCTTATATAAGGATAATTGAATAGAATTAATATTATATCTGATATCATAATTTGTAAAAGCACTGTTTCTTATAAGAAGTCATTTTATATACTGATTCAAGATTATGATTTTTAGAAAAGGTATCAGGATATGACGATTATTCAGTTGGTATTATGATGATTATTAGAGGTTGTAAAATATATGAGGTATTTGTTTTTGCAAGCAAGTTTAATAATTGCTTCCTTAATATCTAATATCTTTTTGCAAATCCCTGCACTAGTTTCATCCTAATCCAGTAATAAACTGGTCTGATATTGCTTATCCCAAGAAGGCATTTGATAGTAAGTTTTATTTTGTGCAAAAGTTTCGTAAGTTATTATTCAGACTATAAGAATTAATTATAAGTTTACCTTGAATGTTTTTGAACTTCATTTAGGCAAGTAAGAAATTAAATAGTTAGCTCAATTACAAATAATAGTAAAGTGATTTATTCTTAATGGAGCAAACAGGTATTATATAGTTTTATTTGTTATAAAAAGAATATTATTTTCAATATACCTCTTTATTTTCTCTTAAAATTTTCATAATAAAAAAAAGCTGTCTGATATATAAATATAATAGCAATACTGACAGTGCTTTGATATATTAGTTTCAATCTGATTACCTGATCTTTCAGAATAAGAGTCAATAGTAACAAGCCAATATAAAAATATTTAATATAGTCTAGCATATGTATAACAATTTATAGATAGTGTTTCATATAATGACTTATAAATGTAAATTAATAAAAATATGCTAGGCAAGGTTCTGCTAGTTAATTAAAAAAAAAATAGTTAATAATAAAATAATTTTTTATATAATACATTTATATATTTATAATTTAATATAATTTTTATTGAAAATATTTATTTAATATTTATGTTATTTTTAAAAAATATTAAAACTAATCAATACTTTATTAATTAATACTTTACTAATTGATATTTTTAAAAAGTATTGAAACTGATTAATACTTTACTGAAAATTTTGGTTTAGTATTTAAACTTAAAAATTAATACCGAAACCAAAATTAATAAATTAGTAATGATATTTATCAATATTAATTAAAATCTTAACTGCTATTCAATTATATTTAATATACAGAGAGACCTCCCTAAATGCACCCTCTATAAATACACTTACTATATTTTCTCTCTCTAAATGCATGGTCAAGCTTGGTTCCAAGTATATAGAATTCTTAATAAAATTACCTCCATAAATGCACATCCTCTATAAATACACATTTTTCAAAAATTTTCCTATGGTCCCGAGAGGTGTACATTTAGAGAGGGTTCACTGTATATAATATTCTTTTAAAATTGGTTTTCAATATTAGTCAAGTATAAATATGTAAGCAAACTAATATTTAATTTTTTATATACTTTATATTTAAGAAATATTATTTTTTTTACAAGTATATATAACTTATAAGTATAATATTATAAATAAAATATTGAATTAAATAATTAAATAATTAATAAAGTAATTTAAGTAAAATTATTTTATAGATGTTTATTTAATTATATTAAAGTTATTATTTTTTTTTAAATAATTTTTTTATAAGTTACAATAAAAATATAAGCAATTTTTTTTTGCAACACACTGTACATTCATTAGATAAAATAAATAGAAAAAATTTTTAATAAATAAATTTATTCGTATGAATAAGAATTTTATTAAAAAATCTTATATAAACTTTTCAATAATTATTTCAATATTTTTATTTCGTCGTAAAGTTTTATTTATAAAAATAATTTCTAATTAGAGTATATTTTTTTATTGTGTATTCAAACTTAATAAAAAATTTTTTTTGTGGAATTTTTTTTTAAAAGAAACTATAATCCAATAAAGTTATGAAGTACAGAATTGATAATGCCCACCGATTAAAAAAAAAATGCAAACCTTTGTGTAAATTCGTGATAAAAAGTGACTAAAAAATTTTTTTCTAATGCCAACAAATCCATGCGAATATGCCCAAAGTTATTGTGGGATAGACAGCATGAGATGAAGTGTTTGTTGATAGGATGAACGCCATGTTCATTTTATTTTCTCAAATGCATCTCTAAATAACAGTTATTCATAAAAATAAATAATATTACAGAGCTAATTTAGTAAATAAATTTATACAGAGAGACAGTACTTCGATATAGTAAACATTGGAACTTCGGCTGATTAATATTCAATTCCTTCGTCGGGGTCAGGGTCTGGAGGCAATAACGCCGGAACGCCCTTAACGTTAACCAGTCGTTCACTGAATTTTGTTGGAGTCACGTATGGTGCTATTCGATATCTAGAAACTGGAACTTGAACCGGAACGGGAGTACCATCCGGGAACCAGGCATTAGGGACAAATGAAGAGTTTGGTGTGGTTGAAGTCGTGATTCCTGAAGTTTGACCAGAAGGAGTGTAGTTTTGACTGAACGGCGTGGTGGCGTTTAGGCTGATCGGATTGGAACCAGTAGTAACGGTGGTATTAGTGGTAGTAGTATTAGTAGTATTAGTAGTAGTAGCGGTTTGATAAGTCCGAGTTGTGTCTCTTGGTGTTGTATGTGTTGTTGGACCTGTTCCATTGGGATAGTTGGCAGGGATACTGGTTGGTGTATTAGTTACTGGTGCTTCCTCACTTTCTGCCAATTCTTTTTCTAAACAAAGAAATGTTATGCATGTTTTTTTATTAATTAATGTATTTTAAAAATAAGTGATTAGTTGATGGGTAGTGATATATAATAAAGACCTATTTTTTCCCTTATGATATTTATCCTGGTGTCTTCCTGTTTCCAAAGGTAGTTAATGTATGCCAATTTACACAGATGATATGCAAAATATAAGAAAACCAAAATTTCTGTTTAAATAAATATACCAAATAGTTAATAAATATGAAATATAATAAATATAAATAAGAATAATGATATATTATTTAGTTTAAGACTTACCTGCTCCGTATATTAATTTAGATGTTAAGTTCATACGGTAATGTTTCACTAGTGTTGTTTCAACAAATTCACTATAAGAAGAAGGATGTTATAATAAAATTCAATAAACGAACAGTATCACATTATTTTAGCACAATACATACCGATGAAATTTTAAGGATGGTAAAAAAAATATAAAACACATGATACAAAGATAGTATAACAATAATTTGGTGTTATTATTCACGAGATCCTGGTATTTGTTCCGTGGTAATTCTTGTTGGATCATAAGTTCACGAATTATGAAAGAAATTGGAGAACCCTTGGGGCGGTTGGAAGACGTTTGTTGCTGTCTCGGTTTGGGATGTGGTGTGGTTTGTACCAGTGCTGATTCGGCTTGCTTCGGCTTTGTAGTTGAATCAGTCTGCCCTATTGGACGTCCAGACAGTTCAGGGGAATACACTGATTTACCAGGATCATTGATGTAAGCTGTTGAACTCTGACTTGCAATTCTGAATGAATTATTAAATGCTTGAGAATTTTGTGTTATGGGCGAGTGCGCCGTTAAAAATCCTTGGGAAGGTAATCTCTGAAATGTATTTAAACTCTGTTGCGGCGTGGACGTCTGTAATACTGGAACATTGGGGGGCTTTAAGGTCGAAGGCGTCAGAGTGGTCTCATTTTCACGTATTACTGATTGTTGTGGTGTCTGAACGAGAAAAGGAGTCTGCTTCTGCGGCTGAGAAGTTGCCTTTGTACGGGTTAAAAAATCATCCTTCGGAGTTGAGGCGATATTTGATTGAGTTTGTTGTTCTAGGGGGAATGATGTAAAACGCGTTGGCTGAGGTTGTGAAGAAATTTGACGCGCTTGAAACGGAGATTGAAAAGAATCGACGAGTGATGAAGACTCGTCTTGATAATTTCCTATTTGTCTTCTACGTAGCCAATCTTGATTGTTACTGCTTTCTTCACTACGAAAAGAAGGTGATGACACATCAAGGCTGGCGGTTAACGGGGATAGTCGCGGCTGGTAGACCATCTTTGCATTTCCATTTCACAGTAAATGGCCATGCAATATATACTATACTTGCATCTTGAATCACACGATCATACGATCACATGATTATTGTCGCCAATTTTACTCAAGGATTCAAGTTCAAGTCAATCAGCAACGTTTTTTGTCAACAATGGAGGACCAAAAAATCCAAGAAGCGAGAGAAACTATGGATGGTGAGTAACCACGTGTTCTTTCAAAATGCATTACATTTTTTTTCCTCTCGGCCTGTCATCAAAATAATGAGTGAAGCATTTGTGCAAAGTTCTTTACGAAATTTCCACATTACTGAACACGGGCTTAGACCGGGAGACACTTTCGTTATGTTTAAATTTATGCGAAAATGGTGTAAATCCTGAAGCTTTGGCAGTAAGCACCATTTGTATTCATCTGTTTTCATGTGTGATTTAGGATCGAAATTTTTAGAGGTAGTTTCGAAAATTGGGGATACTTCTTAACAATAACTTAATATTGGAGACCCTATTAAAATTTGACTGTTTTTCATATTTAGGCCGTGATAAAAGAACTTCGAAGGGAAAGTGCATCGATGAAGGTGCGTGACAATAATTCAGTTGTTCTCAATCACATTCGTAATTCCGTAATATCAATTATAATTTTATTTGAAAAAAAAAGCTCTCTGAGACCAATCCCGCCGTTACAGCCTCAGGGTCTAATGGTAACACTGGCGGTGGCGGCAGTACAACAGCTTCGCTGTCGGGCGGTTAACAGTACCATACGTAAAATCACGTGAAATTAGATGTTTATCACTATGCGATCATCAATAAAGGAAAAAATTCGTTCAGAAAAACAATTGAGCGCCGTTCGCTCTTACCAAACTTATCAAATCTTTTATGCATGTATCTAAACGCATGTTAAAGAATAAACAGAATATCCTGCGTGTTTTGATTATTGCAGATCGTCCTTTTCATAAGAAATTTTCTTTTGTTAAAGATTCTGGCGATATGATCTCTAATCATGCACTTTTTTTATAAAATCATAAAATACCAAGGGAATTATTTTCTTTATCTAATTTAATATATTTTTTATAATTTCACTCTCAGGTTAAATCCTGAAATAATTTATAAATTTATAAATCGAATTCATAGATTCATGGATGCACACATTCTAAATTTATCTATTGATCGTCTAGTCCAACGCTTTGGCACTTTGGTCAGGTGAGCTTAAATACTACTATATAAACTACTGTTTACATGAAAAATTTTATGAACAAGATTTTTGATGTCAGAGAGAAAAAGAAATCATTCTGATGCTTTTATGAGCCATGGTTCAGCTTCAAAAAAGCCACATATTCTTCAAACAACAAGTTCGAGTGAGGGCGGGCAGAATGATCCGGACACAAACAATAGTAACAGTAACTCAAACATTTACCATGTGATAGCTAATGTTGATATTTCGGATCCAGAATGGCTCGAGGTTTGTGGACTGTTATCAAGGATTGTCGACGATTAGTTAAGTTCATTTAATATGCTCATATGCTATATTATTTTTGCGCAACAGAAATATCAAAAAGAAGCAATATTTCGGGCTTTAAAAGAATATCAGCGGCAAGCCGAGCGTGCATTAGAATTTAATCAGGAACTGGTAAAAGGAGAAGCAGAGTACAAAAATCAGTTGGAGAGAATTGAAGATGTTAGTTATATACATATATTTTTACTAATTGCTAGAGTCGATGGTATAAATTTTCTAACCGATTCATTTATTCATTCAAGCTTTTGGAATATTTGCAAAGTCATTTGAAACGGCTTGATGATGCGGGGTTTCCAATGAAATCCAGCGCTGACGACAGTATGTTATTTCTTATATAGGCATTATTTATTTTTCTATTATCTATTCATCATCTCTCATAATTTATAAAAGAATGATTTTAATTTACTTAAATGTCTTGACAAAATTCTTTTAGTAAATATAGATCGACATTGACATATTAATGTTTGATTTCGTTGTATCAATTCAGACAATTTTAGTTTCTCATACTTACAACAAATATCGACTGTCATCCGAGATGACAAAACACTTGAAGATGCAAAGAACATAGTTCAGTCGTTTATCGAGAAGATCTTCATTTGGTTACATGAACAAGATGTTTTCATAAAAACCTTGCAATCTGACAAAAATGAAGAATCGCAGATCGTTGACTTTTTCACTCACAAAACTCGATGCTTAAGTAAAATTTACCAGAACGCCATAGAAACGGTCGAATTTCAGGACAAAACTCTAACTGATGTATACATATATATATATATATATATTCTTTTTAAAAATCTGCAAAAACATTAATTTTTTTGTTTTGTTTTATTTCAAAAAGGTCAATACCATTACACGGGAGTTGGAGACAACTAAAGCAAGTCTTGAATCAACTTCTCAACAGCTTGAAACTGCTCAGGACAAATTGGCTCAGTTAGAAAAAAATATAGATAGATCTAATAGTTTTACATTAAATCCTTATTTACTCGATAAAAAAAATGAATCTAATGACCACTCGGTAAGAGCCCGTTTTCCTGTAAATATTTTTGATTAATATATGGCGATGCATTAAGATATTCATCAAAACAGAGTAATTCTTCAAGTCGACCTATTGCGGAAAGAATGGAATTGTCAGATTTAAGGGCACTAGCCGAAGCTCGATTAAAAGAGTGTAATGATTCTCAGGCCGAGAAGGTTGAGTTGAGAAAAAGAATATATGAGATTCAGGAGAAGGTATATTTAAATGGAAGTGAGAAAACTTATTAGGCGTTTTATGGATGTTTTCTCACAAAAAAATTTTTTTTGACGATATTAATTGAAAAAAAGTTTAAATACGTACCGGAGGAACGCGTTAAGGAATCCGAGAAATTTAAATCGCTTGAATTAGAACTCAATCAACTTCGTCAATCCTATGATCATCTGCTTGCCTTGTTTGATGAAAAAACCAGAGAAGTACAAAATCTCACTGCTTCTCGGGATAAAGCTGATGATTTATTGAAGGTGTGATATATATTGAGACTTTCAATTAATTCGGTTGAACTTCTTTAAACATTAAAATTCTATTTATTTTTTATTAGTCTGAAATGAAGCGGATGGATCAGGAATTTCAGGAGGTAAAGCAAGAATATCTTAGCGAACTGGATCGCATTCGTGCAAAGAGAAATGAATTGGTTAAGGATGTAGAAACATTACGTTCCATGATACCACAAGACTTTCGCCAAAATTCGGCAATTCGGTAAAATATGAATCCGACTTCTTTCGCAATATTGTATTAGACGTATATATATATATATGTTAAACTGAGTGATATGTATTTTCGTTAAATATAGAATGCTTGCCAGTGATCGCATGGAATTTATCAACATTCTGAAGGAAGAAATACGTAAGCTTAATATTAAGATCGCAGCATATGACGGAAATAAAAGTGCCATCGAGCAGATCCGCAATGTTCATCTATCAACAAATGAATTGACGTTCAGAGAATCTCAGGGCACCGATTTAACCAAATACATTACCGATATGCTTTCCTACAAATCGAATAAATTCGAACAAAGGTCCAAATGTTTTACTTATATCTTGTCAAGATAATTTTGCTTTATACATATTAATTTAGGAATCTTTATTGATTAGACCTCAAGACCCACCTGCATCAGATCTACCAATATCACAAAATCCCACTGAATTGCTTAGTCGAATTAAAGATCTTGAAGATATTAATGAAATTCTCAAAAATGTATGATGCCGTATTTTCATAATCATAAGATTTATTATTTCAAAATCCTCATTTGATATATACTAATTATTAGAACGAGAAGTCACAATCCCATGAAATCGAAATAATGTTTAATCAGCTTGAAAAGAGGGATGATGCAAACCATAAAAAGGCCTTCGAAATCTGTTCTCAGGATCAGAGAGTTTACACACTGAAACAATCGGTAACTAACGAAATGATTGGCTCTTTTTATTTTATGATATCCTAATTTTCTTATCCTTGTTAGCTTACCAAATTTCAACAACGCCTTAACGCCGTGACAATGGAAAATGTTTCATTAACAAAAGAAAGAAGTTCTATGGCTGTCGTTATCCAGAATCAAATTAATGTGATTCGACAAAATAGTTATTTGTTGACGAATTACAAATCGCAGCTGGTATGTTTAATATTTTAGTTAAAGCAAGGGAGACGCGTTTAGAATGTATTTCACGAATAAAAAATTACAGGAAAACCATAAAAGAGAAGCCGATAATGCTATTCAAGCGTTGGCCATATATAAGCAAAAACTTCAGGAGTACGAACTCGAGCTCAAGAGGGAGAAGACTGCTTCCGAGAACTTGCGCATTGATGTAATATATATCAATCTAAGGGTCTTCGTTTGAAATTCTTTTGACACCATTTTAATGCGTTACTCTTTGACAGAGAACGAATAAAGCCAGGGAATTCTCAGCAGAAGTAAGAAAACGAGGCGAAGAGTTAAAAACGATGTTCAAGGAATCTAGGCACGTCAAAGAGCAACTGGATGGAAAAAACAAGCAAATAGAGGAACTCAAGAGGACCCAATCATCCACAGTTTCTACAAATACTTTAAGGTTACTGGAAGTATATGAGGTACAATTTATTTTGATTATTCATGGCAATCTCGGTTTAAGATTTGTTCGTCATATTCTATGTTTATTATTTAGACAAAATGGAAGTGTTCGACTTGTAATACTCGATTCAAAGATCATTGCCTAACCCTTTGCATGCATGCCTTTTGTAAAACATGCTTGGAACGCCAATTGGAAGGTCGCAATCGAAAATGCGCGAACTGTGGTCAGCAATTTAGCAAGACGGATATCAGGCAAATTTACTTTTAGATGGTGCTTGCGTGTGGCTATCGATTGTTGATACGCCGCCGTAAGGCTGGATACTAGAATATATGCCTTATAATTTAATTAGTCACATAGGTTAAAGTAACTTAGTGATATTGGGAGGATTCAGTTTTTCCTTCTAGAGTTTAATTACCACCAGAGAAAGGTTGAGCGTTGCATGCAAAAGCAATAAATAAATGAGTTTCACGTTGTATGCTAATATTGGTGAAAATGATGATAACTAGGATATAAGATAGACTTTATTAGGATAGCGAAAGGGAGCGTTCGCAGATTTAAGAATAATGATATAATTTAATGGATCAAGAACATCTTAACAGAATTTCATGACCTGATCTAATTATAAACCAAAGAATGCATAGTGTATTCATAAAGGTTTTAAACTTAGCAGAACAATATTTATTTCACCTAATTGACATCCCCAAAAGGAACTAGTATTGTAAAAAAACTTTAGACGTGATATCTTTCCGCCAAACCAATTCTTTGAACAACATATTTTGGCAGACAGTAAACCGGGTCAACTGATTTCAAGTCCGGATATTCTAGTAATGATAGACCTTTGATATAATAATAAAAAAGTTAACAATTGTCAAACACCTAGAATAATGAAATATAATGAAACGGATTTCCTTAGCAAAACGTGATTTACCAGCAATTCCAAAAAGAGTATGAAACACATCTGCCATGTCGCCCGGCCGATCAGCAATTCCTCCAGATTCGGGGTCCTTAAATGACTTTGCATTAGAAAATGTGCGAGTCAAAGCCAGAAAATGACTCCAAAGTGTATATACCTGAGCCGCTAGAACAAACTCGATCAGCTTTTCCTTATTTATCCAGTGGATTTTACCCAGGATACTTAGCGCGGACAGTACCCACCACGAGTAACACACCTGCATCATTAATATATCTTTAGCGCGTAAAGGTTACGCGGAATATGTAGACAATATTTTGTGACCCTACATCTTCAAGTTTTTCTGGTCGACCGTTTAATCCGCCATTTTTCAACTGTCGTTCGCAGAGCCACCAGCCAAGTAAATCCGCATCAACTAAATGCAGGGAGTTGACAATGGCAAGAGCACCGACGCAACAAAAGACTTGTTAGATTGAATTTTGGATGGAACAAACATTCGAATGTTAAGCTTAGTTATTTAGGCAAAAGAAAAAAAACAGCGATTTTCCAATTTCATATTCACTTTGCGCAGCGTGAGATTCGGCTCCAGGGGTACTACCAAATCCACCATCGAAGTTTTTACAAAGCATAATAAACTCAACAGCCTTGTCAACATCCACGGCATCGAGACGCTTCAAGAGGGAAAGACACGAAAGTGCGCAGTACGAAAATCGCGTATCAACTTCTCCCCATTCATCACCCGTGAAAGCACCCGATTGACGATCTTGGCGAGATGCGACATCTAAGGTTGAAGATGACTTCAATCAGAAATTCTGTATTGCCGCGAATCCTACGTAACGTTGTGATGTCAAGTAAAGGTTCTGAAAACCTGCAGAACCGTAAATAAATTCACGTATGTTTCATACGTGAGTCACATTACGTAATAAAACTGCCCAATCCAAGTATCGACTAACCGATCCTACTCACATTCGACTATTTTTTCGATATTAACTGCATCCAATGCATCTTCAATCAACAAAATTTGCACCGCATAAAGAGTATTTGTCAGATGCGGGTCATGACCAACGTGACCCCCGAAACCACCTAAAAATTAAGAGAATTCGCATTAGTCGATTTGACTCCTAATGACCATTGCTCAAAAATGAAATCGCTGAATAGCTTCTGGGAGACTACCATTATCATGTTGACAAGAGACCACATACTTCACCACGTCTTCTTTATTAAGAGCATCGAGATTTTTCAACAAGTCCAGAGCCGTTATGCCCCAGTAGATACCGCTGAGGCGTAGGTGCTCTGTGAGCCAATATTCCAAGTCGTCCTTTTTCTATAAAAAAAAAAATAATAATGTGTAATGTTGGCGTTTTCTCGTTCTCCAACAGCGTAAATCTCGAAGTGTACATACCGTATCAAGGGATTGAATATATTTAACGTGTAAGTCAACCAAAAGCTGTTTGGTAGAAGTCATGATCGATCGTACAACTACAAAATTATCATAAACTCAAGTATTTTAATGTAATTTAATCACGTGATATGCACAACTAGGCAGTTATAGAATAGTACATGGTATGTGTTTGCTTTTCCATAGCGACAAAAGGAATGGCAGCCAACATACAACTGAAACAGCTTGCGGAGAGATCTCGAAATGTAGCGAATGCGATTTTAAATCGCGATCTACCTCCCATTGAACGAAATCTAGAGCAAATCGAGAAACAGTCGCGTAAACTTGCTGATAAAGTTGTAAAACCTGGAGAAACTCCCGAAAGAAAAGCGTATGTGTTAAAGACTTCCGTCTTTCTTTTGTTTCTATATATGTAACTTTCGCGATCGCTTAAAGGTACATATCGGTCAGAAACCGTGTTACTTTTGCTTTCTTTAAAAAAGTGTTTTGAGCGGATACGAAAGTGTTCTTATAATCTGTTCTTCACAAGTTCGCAATTCTTTGTGCTAACACACTTCCAGTCCATATTTCTTAGCGAATATTGGGATTGATGGAGATAAATTAACACAAGAAGTAAAAAGCATTAACGTTTTGGGTGCCTTTGAACCGCGAGTTGTCCTGCCGGATACGGATGTCGAGGTACACGTATTAATTTGAAAATTTTTTTGTTATACGATATTTTCATTGAGACGATAGTTTTTATATTGTAATCTGGGAAATAGAAATACCTCGATCATAAACATCAACAAACGATCACAAGTATCATTAAAGATGGTTATACGCAGGTATTTTTGATGTTGCCAAACCCAATATGAAAAAAATTTTTTGTTGTCTCTAATTTGGTATGTCTGTCCTTTATACTGTGTTAAAATTCAGACCATCAATGATTATAACTCCCATTTTGATCGATGTTTGCACCAAGATTGGGATAGATTCAAGAGAAAAGTGTTTGAAGAACTTGGTCAACATGTGCCAATGAGGTCTGTAAGTAGTTCGGAAGTACCTGTCAGCGTTGGAAGCGGTCGTAATGTAACGCAAACACGATTTTCGCCGAGCACATCATTATCAAACACCAACCCTCGATCAACAATGGTTTGTACGAATCTCTCTTTTTTTTTCTTTTTCTTATTTCTTGTAACATCTCAATCTGAGGATCTTTTTTTTCAATGTGCCAAGAGGTCATCATATGCTACCGTAGGAGAAGGACGCGTTTCATTTAGGAGTGATTCTACCTTGCAACTAAATCAACGACATTTGGTCTATTTTGATGTCGTGGTTAAATTGAACAATTCGAGATTGACTAAAATTGAGTATGGCGTTATAAATGAATTTATTAACGCAGCAAAGAAAATCAATCTAGATTATGTAGGAAAATGAATGGTCATTTACACTCATGTCTTGTTTTAATTTGTCTGCTCATTAGAACAAATAATCTGTTCTTTATCTTTCTCAAATTAGGGAAGAAAGCTGGTGCAATGTTGGCAAGCACTTGCACATATCGTTGGAGAAAGTAATGTTGTTGACGGACGCTTCACACGAAATCCACTGAAGCAAGGGCACTTTAAATCAGCATACCACTCTCCTTCTTTTGACGCGACATTTAAAAACCTTTGCAGATACCTCATAAACGGTTCAAAACGCTATTTGGAAGAATCGTATGAAAAATTTTGATATCTCAATTATTAGAACGTGTATTTTGTTTTTATGGATACAAGTTTTAATTTAATCGATATCTAGTTATCAATCGTGGTCAAATACCTATGTAAATTCTTTTCGGAGCGAAGCTATGCTAGGAGGTCTACCATCTGCCATTAACATGGCGCGGGCCGTCTTGCGTGCCATCCATCGACCAAATGGAGGAATTCCAACGGATAATTTACACGTATTACGATTTCGAATTCATTATATCTTATTTTTAATATTCATATTTAATTTTTTTAATTTTTTTTTTTTACAGATGGCAGATAATGTTCCAATATGGGGCCACATCTTTGTTCTCGTGAGACAGGGTTATTACCAACAAGCTTTGGAGGTTGCAAAGGGTTACGAACCGTTGTTGCCTAGACAGGATTTACAATTTGTTACATATTTTTCTCGATTTGTTTCAAACAATAATAGGTTTTGTAGTAATTCTATTTTGAACGTGCATTTATCTCACGTTCTGAGAATAACCAAATCTATTAACAATTCAGTCTTCCTCCGCAAGATCGACAAAAATTGGTCGCAGATATGAAACAATGGAATTCCTTAACTTTTCAAGATAAAGATCCATATAAGTTCATCATGTATCAAGTAGTCGCCCAGCTTGAAGAATTACCGCAGAAACCTCAAATTGAAAGTGTTCTCCTCACTTCAGAAGACTTCATGTGGATGAAGGTGATTCATTGTTCTATTGCATTGTTTGACCTCAAGTAAAATTTGTTAAAAATCAAACTTTCTTTCAGCTAATGTGCATTCGAGAGATTGAATCAGTTGGTGGAACCTCAAATGACACGCTATCATTAGAAGACTTGCAAAAAACAATTCGAAACTTGGGTCCTAATCATTTTAATCATGGTGGAAAAGACCCTATACAATATTTTCGGGCTCTACTGTTTACAGCCCAATTTGAAAGGGTAAATGTTTTATTTAGGTTATTTAGGCTTGCATCTACGACTATCTACATGAAGAATATGGCTTAACATTACCACTTCTCATTCTCGTAGGCGGCTCATTATTTATTTCAGACAGATTATACTGAAGATGCGGTACATTTTGCTGTTGCACTTTCGTATTATGGATTGCTTAGAATACCCGATTATGGAGAAACCATGGCATTACGTATGCGTTATTTTCTTTGCAATATTGCAGATTCACTTGAAGACTTTATCATACCTACCTCATTTCATAAACTTAATTTTAGTCGTTGAGGCTGGAGAGAAAGCATTCCCTTATCTCAATTTCAACACGCTCATTGTTCAATATGCTAGTTCGCTAGTCAAAGAAAAAGCTCCCAGCACTGCATTACATTACCTTCTCTTATTGTACCTTCACTGTAATCCACAAACCGACTCCGGTTATTATCAAATTGAATTATGCCATGAAAATATTCGACAACTTGTGTACGATACAGAAGCATTCACTGATTAAAATGATTAGGACCCAAGTTT